GCCTGTTAAAAAAAATCTAAAATTGTTACTTCAAACGAATGGATACAAATAAAAAACAGTTTTATGCTTGTAGATTACTTTCTAATTTGTTAGAATACCAAAATGCAATGATTAGTATAAAGTCTGCATCACAAAACATGCTTTAATGGAGGAAAATTATAAAAAAATCAATTGTAAAAATCAAAAAAAAAAATTCAAATGCATTGGTAACACAATGTTTGCACCACAAAACATGTTTTATCCTGCCAAACTGCACTTCAACCTGTTAAAAACATGCTTTCGTGGGGGTAAATGACATCATAATCTATTGTAAAAACCTAAAACTGAATTAAATGCATTGATAATACAATGTTTGTACCAACAAAACTTTGTACCAAAGTTTTATGGTGCCAAACTGAATCCCAACCTGAAAAAAAAAACATGTTTTTAACATGTTGGAATGCAGTTTGGTACTATAAGACATGTTTTTTAGTACAAACATACGACCAATTAATTTGAATTAGTTTTTGGTTTTTATAATAGCTTATGATGCGATTTTACACTAGAGACATTACATTATCAATGGATTTGAATCCGTTTTCAGTTTTGATAACAGATTATGATGCACTTCACCTGTCTAAAACCAGTTGTTACTTCAAATGTATTGCAATATATAATGTTTGCACCTAAAGACACCGATTTATGGTGGTAGATTGCTTTAGAAAGCCAAAAACAAATTTAAATGCAATGCTTAATATAAAGTCTGCACCACAAAACCTGCTTTTATGGAGGTAAATCAGATCACAATCTTTTATACAAAACTAAAAGCTGTTTCAAATGCATTGATAATGCACTCACAAAAATAATACACTCACTTATTTAAAATGATCCCAGTGCACTGTAAAAAAAAAAAAGATGGGTTTCACACAGTTAATTCATGTTGTCCCAGAACAAATCGATTTAGTTAACTTAAATTTAAGTGGATTGAACATAAAACAATTAAGTTGTCCCAAAAAATCTCAAGAATTGTGTTGTTTCAGCTCATTTTAAACAAGCAGTTTGATCAAGCAGCATAATCTATGTTTTTGTCGATGCATTTGAATTGGTTTCTGGTTTTTATTATAGATTATGATGTACTTTACCTTCATAAAAGCATGTTTTGTGCTGAAGACTACGTTTTTATCTTTGCATTTGAATCTCCCACCAAATCAGAGCAGGCTTTTATTTAACAATTTTTTTTTATCATGTTTTTATTATGTTCTTTTATATTCGCTATTGTGTTTTAACCTGTTTGGTCAATGATTGTTTTTAGTAATGTTTATTTTGTTTTAGCATGTCTGTTGATGCTTACTGTAAGGTGACCTTGGGTGTCTAGAAAGGCGCCATTTACAAATAAAATTAATTATTATTATTATTATTATAATTGTTTGGGGGTGCAAACAACACTTTTAAAAAATGGAGGGTTCGACAAAATTCCTTCTTGTTGTTCCAGCACAAATCAATCAAGTTAACTTAATCCTTTTTACAAATTGAAGTGGATTGAACATAAAACAATTAAATTGTCCCAAAAAAAATCTTAAGAATTGTGTTGTTTCAGCTCATTTTACATAAGTAGTTTGAACAAGCAGCAGAATCATTTTTTTACAATGCATTTGAATTGGTTTTTGGTTTTTTAATAGATTGTGATGTACTTTACCTCCATTAAAGCATGTTTTGTGGTGCAGACTCTATATAAAGCTTTGCATTTGAATCAGTTTTTGGCTTTCTACAGAAAGCAATCTACCACCATAAATCAATTTTTCCATCCCTGTAAAAAAAAATGGAGAGTTGGACAAAACTCCTTCTTGTTGTTCCAGCACAAATCGATGAAGTTAACTTAGTAATTTAACAAATTTAAGTGGATATAACACAAAACAATCAAGTTGTCCCAAATAAACCTTAAGAATAGTGTTGTTTTGACCTGTTAAATAAGTAGTTTGAACGAGCAGCAAAATAATTTTTTGTCAAAGCACTGAAAAACATTTTGTCTGCAGAACTGTTGCAAACAATTTATTTGTGTTGAATTTAAACAAACAAATTACATTTAATAAAATTCAACTTAACTTGTTTGTTTAAATTCAGCCCAAATAAATAGTTTAAAGCCACTTAATGTAAAAAAAAATTGAGTAAATCCAAGGAATCATCTCAATCATTTTTTTCAGTTTCCATTTGAATCAGTTTTTGGTTTTTATAATAGACCATGATGCAATTTATCTCCATTACAGCATGTTTCTGTAGACTTTGTTTTAAACTTTGCATTTGAATCAGTTTTTGGTTTTTATAATAGACCATGATGCAATTTACCTCCATTACAGCATGTTTCTGTAGACTTTGTTTTAAACTTTGCATTTGAATCAGTTTTTGGTTTTTATAATAGACCATGATGTAATTTACCTCCATTACAGCATGTTTCTGCAGACTTTGTTTTAAACTTTGCATCTTTTTCATCAGTTTTTGGCTTTCTAAATCAGAAACCAATCTACCACCATTAATAAAAAAATGGGGGGCAAACAACACTATAAAAAATGGTGAGCTCAACAAACCACCTTAATGTAGTCCCAGCACAAATCAATTAAGTTAACCTAATAATTTCTAGAAATTTAAGTGGATTTTTGTCAATATTTTTGGTTTTATAATAGATTATGATGTACTTTACCTCTACAAAAGCATGCTTTGTGCTGCAGACTTTAGAGTAAGCTTTCCATTTGAATCAGCTTTTGGCTTTCTAAATCTAAAAGCAAATTACTACCATGAATATATATATATATTTGAAAACATCACTGTAAATAAATTGAGGGTTCGACAAAATTCCTTCTTGTTGTTCCAGCACAAATCAATCAAGTTAACTTAATCATTTTACAAATTTAAGTGGATTGAACGTAAAACTATCAAGTTGTGCCCCCAAAAAAGTTAAGAATTTTGTTGTTTCAGCTCATTTTAAATAAGTAATTTTTTTCCTTAATGCATTTCAAATGTTTCTTGGTTTTTATAATAGATTGTGATGTACTTTACCTCCATTAAAGTATGTTTTATGGAGGAGACTTTGCATTTGAACCCATTTTTGGCTTTCTAAACCAGACAGCAGTCTACCCCTTTATATCAGTTTTCCTTGGTGCAAACATTATCAATGCATTTGAATCAGTTTTTAGCTTTGAATAATAGATTATGATCTAATTTACCTCCATTAAAGCATGTTTTGTGGTGCAGACTCTATATAAAGCTTTGCATTTGAATCAGTTTTTGGCTTTCTACAGAAAGCAATCTACCACCATAAATAAATTTTTCCATCCCTGTAAAAAAAAATGGAAAGTTGGACAAAACTCCTTCTTGTTGTTCCAGCACAAATCGATGAAGTTAACTTAGTAATTTAACAAATTTAAGTGGATATAACATAAAACAATCAAGTTGTCCTAAATAAACCTTAAGAATAGTGTTGTTTTGACCTGTTAAATAAGTAGTTTGAACGAGCAGCAAAATAATCTTTTGTCAATGCACTGAAAAACATTTTGTCTGCAGAACTGTTGCAAACAATTTATTTGTGTTGAATTTAAACAAACAAATTACATTTAATAAAATTCAACTTAATTTGTTTGTTTAAATTCAGCCCAAATAAATAGTTTAAAGACACTTAATGTAAAAAAATTGAGTAAATCCAATGAATCATCTGAATCATTTTTTTCAGTTTCCATTTGAATCAGTTTTTGGTTTTTATAATAGACCATGATGCAATTTACCTCCATTACAGCATGTTTCTGCAGACTTTGTTTTAAACTTTACATTTGAATCAGTTTTTGACTTTCTAAATCAGAAACCAATCTACCACCATTAATAAAAAAATTGGGGGGCAAACAACACTATAAAAAATGGAGAGCTCAACAAAACTCCTTAATGTAATCCCAGCACAAATCAATTAAGTTAACCTAATAATTGCTAGAAATTTAAGTGGATTTTTGTCAATATTTTTGGTTTTATAATAGATTATGATGTACTTTACCTCCATTAAAGTATGTTTTGAGGTGGAGACTTTGCATTTGAACCCATTTTTGGCTTTCTAAGCCAGACAGCAGTCTACCTCCTTATATCTGTTTTTTGGTGTAAACATTATCAGTGCATTACCAGCTTTTGGCTTTCTAAATCTGAAAGCAAATTACTACCATAAATATATATTTTTGAAAACATCACTGTAAATAAATTGAGGGTTCGACAAAATTCCTTCTTGTTGTTCCAGCACAAAATTCCTTCTTGTTAACTTAATCAAGTTAACTTAATCATTTTACAAATTTAAGTGGATTGAACGTAAAACTATCAAGTTGTGCCCCAAAAAAAGTTAGGAATTTTATTGTTTCAGCTCATTTTAAATAAGTAAATTTTTTCCTTAATGCATTTCAATTGTTTCTTGGTTTTTATAATAGATTGTGATGTACTTTACCTCCATTAAAGTATGTTTTATGGAGGAGACTTTGCATTTGAACCCATTTTTGGCTTTCTAAACCAGACAGCAGTCTACCCCTTTATATCAGTTTTCCTTGGTGCAAACATTATCAATGCATTTGAATCAGTTTTTAGCTTTGAATAATAGATTATGATCTAATTTTCCTCCATTAAAGCATGTTTTGTGATGCAGACTTTATATTAAGCTTTACATTTTAATCCGTTTTAGGCTTTCTAAATTAGAAAGCAATCTACCACTTTTTTTGGGTGCAACCATCACAACATTTACACCACAAAACATCACTCATTTGTTTTTGTGTCGCTAAACAGCATCCTAATCCTTCAGAAAACCAGCTCTCTCCAAATGCATAGTTTTCTCCCCTTGAGTGTGCAAAAAAAAAAAACACCTCCCTCTCTAGTTCCTCCTTCGTGAAACATCAACCATGAGACATGCATGCATGGAATGATCACTTTGTTGCGTGATTGTGCAATAGACTTACAGCCAATTTCATTATGAAAAGGGAGGGTTGAGCCTCGATGCCTTTCATTTGCGGTCCGTGCATTCGGAGCACGTGTTTCAAGCACTGTAAAAAGGAAAGAAAAAAAAGCTCTCATCTGCGAGCGTAAAGCCGAAGGGGCGTGGATAAAGGCTTGAGTTACCTGCCCTAGACTTTCACCTGCGGAGAAATGGAAAGAATTCAGCACAGCAGCAGCAGTGGCAGTCGACGAGAACATAAAACCGTCGGCATTCCATCACACGCATAAAGAGAGGGAGAGGGAGAAAAGAGGAGGAGGAAGTCGACAGGTTCACCTGAAAACATTGGGACTCGCTCCTCCTTGAAAACCCAGTGTCTGTAAGCCTAGATCTGCTTTTTGGAAGGCAGGACAGGACGGTGAAGCATCCTGACTATGGCTCTCGGGTTTCTGACTGCAGCGGGAATCAGAAAGACGCGTCGGAGAGACAGAAAGAGCGTGTTTACCTGCGCAGGTGGAATGATGTGAGCTGGATTTCTGCATTGATCGGACATCATGGTCAGACCCCTACGCTTGTGGATCTTTAACGTGCTGCTGTGTTTCGGCATTATCTATTCCAGACTCGGGTGAGTGGGTGATGCATGCTATATATTTTATGCATGCATTTTTATATAGAGATTTCAGGGCAAAATGATTAGTGCAATATTTATTTCAAATATTTCTCAGGTGGAGTTTTTTTTTAGAGTATTAACGATAATATTTTTTCTTATGAAGAAAGTTTTAGTTCTTTTATTTCAGCAGTAATAAAATATGCTTTTAATACATATTTTAAGGTCAACATTATTATATGACTTGCCTAATTACCCTAACTTTAACCTCATTAACCTAGTTAAGCCTTTAAATGTCACTTTAAGCTGAAAACTAGAATCTGGAAAAATATCTAAGCAAATATTATGTGCTGTCATCATGGCAAGGAGAAAAGAAATCAGTTATTAGAATATATATATACTATATTATGTTTAAAAATATGCTGAAAAATCACCTCTCCGTAAGGGAAAAATATAAAAGAATTCAAATGCACTAGTTAATAATTCTGTATATGAAAGTTTGTGCATTTTATGTATTATTTTTTTATTTATTGATTGATTTATTTATATTTTAAAAATTATGCTATGTTTAAAGTTTAACAGTGCAAATATTTCATGCAGACTTTTAATTTATTTGAGATGTACACATGCATTTTAAAATTGTAGGTTTTTGGTCAATTAAAACACAGATCTTATATCGATTTACAACTGTTATGTTAACTGTTTTCCACCTATCAGGGAATATCAACAAAACGTCTTGGCAAAGTTTTGAGCAAACATTGTGTTTCAGTAAAGTAAGTAGAATAATAATAATTCAGAATTATGTGGCCTTTGATAATGTTCTTAAAATCTGAGCACAAAAAATGTTATTTCTGCATTAAAATGTTATTAATACGTACAGTGCTCAGCATATACGAGTACACCCCTCACAAATCTCTCATTTATATTCATATTTTCTATAGGATGTGATAAAATATTATATTTGTGCATATACATTAGATTAATTAGGACTAAAGCCAAAACTGGAACTAATCTCACAAAATAACTTACAATAATGGCCTAAAAATTAGTAGCTTAAATTTATATGTTAGGGAAAAATATAAATACAATTTTAAAAAAATAGCAAAAATTTTGAAAAAAAGACAAGATTTAGTTGAAATTTTGCAGTTTGTAAGTTTTTTTTTTGTTGCAATATTTAGCATGTTTTATGTATTATCAAATGTATTATCTTTCTATTCCTAAATATGTTTAGTGAATAAAATTTTATTTTAATTATTTAACAAATCTGTTTTGTTTAAATGCACCAAAATATATAATCTATATTCACTGAGAAATGGATAAAAATATTAACTTTCAAAATGAGGTGTACTCATTAATGCAGAGCACTGTAGTTTGTTGTTCCAGTGTTTTGAAAATGTTACTGCAAACGTTTCCATGTTTGCAAACTTATAAAGTTGTAAGTAGGTTTGTAATCTCCAAAACAGTAAAGTTTAATAATTTGTCTTAATTTTTTCATTGGAATGTGTTCTAGATAATAAATATTACCATATATTGTTATTATGATTTTCATAATACAATATCCTGTATTGTAAAAACTATATTTTTAAACAGCAAACCGTTTATAATGAGCGACATTGATGGCATTTGAAAGGAAAAAGAAATGAACTGTCATGTTTCAGGCACGGTGGCTGAGTAGTTAGCACTATGGTCTCACAGTAAGAAGGTCGCTGGTTCGAGCCTGGCTGGGTCAGTTGGTGTTTCTGTGTGGAGTTTGCATGTTCTCCCCGTGTTGTCATGGGTTCCCTCCGGTTGCTCCGGTTTCCCCCACAGTCCAAACACATGCGCTATAGGGGAATTGATGAACTAAATTTGCTGTAGTGTATGAGTGTGAATGTGAGAGTGTATGTGTGTTTCCTAGTACTGGGTTGCAGCTGGAAGGGCATCCGCTGTGTTAAACGCATGCTGGATAAGATGGCGGTTCTACTAATAATAAGAATAAAGTCCCAACTTATAAATATAAGTCTAAATGAATAATGGGACTAAACTGAAGGAAAATAAATGAATGTCATGTTTTACTGGTGAACCGATTTTACCAAATTGTCAGCAATAATTGTTCAATCATGTAAAATATGAAGTATTTTTCTATTATAGTATGATGAATTATTATTTAATAAATATTAAGTGTAGGTCAGAATGAATCCAGGCTTTCTTCAGGTTTAAATTGAAGACTTTTTAAGATCTTTTTAAGACCATTATGAATTAAATTTTAGACTCAAACAGGCCTAAACATTTTTTTTTTCTAATGGCCAAGTTGGTTGGCACAAAAAACAAAAAAACAATGTAATTTTTTTGTAGAGACATATTTTAATGCGTCAAAACAAGGAAACTCTAGTTGTACACCCTTTTTTATTGACAAGTTTAACATTGTTAAAAGTTTATTTATTATTTAGACACTGACATTAATAATCAAAAATATACATTTATTGACTTTTGGGAATTGATTGAGAGTAATTTATCATGTAAAATTGATATCTTGCTTTGTTATTATCATGAAGAATTGTGTAATTTTAATTTTCTTTCCCTTATTAGTGAATTTAATTAACAGAAATTGCTGTAAAAACAGCTTGTAAATTGGATCTCTTTGCAATATAAATATGTAATATAAAAAAAGCTTTAATGAGATGGATTGTTGATGGATGTTGACCCGATTAGGTAGCTTTACTTGGACAGTGGGAAATTAAGACCTGTTTAAAAAGATTTAAGACCTACAACACAATATTTCAGTGAATTTAGGATTGGTTAAGACTTGTTAAGGCCTAAAATTTTGTTTGTGAAATTGAAGACATTTTAAGACTTTTTAAGACCCCACAGGGACCCTGCAATATGGTGTTTATTTAGACATAAATACGATTCGGCGAATGATAATGATGATGATGGGGACATTATTTCACCAATATTTAATATCTTTTAAACACATACTTTGCTTGTACTTAATATTCTTTCTCTATTTAAATATAGTTACTTTATTCATTCATTCATTTTCTTTTTGGCTTAGTCCCTTTATTAATCCGGGGTCGCCACAGCAGAATGAACCGCCAACTTTTCCAGCAAGTTTTTACGCAGCAGATGCCCTTCCAGCCGCAACTCATCTCTGGGGAAAATAGTTACTTTAGTACACTTCATTTGCGGACACTGAAAGTGTGTTGTTTTAAACTTTTCAGACGTTTGAAAAACTGGAGAACCCAAATATATCTTTATATAAGCCCTAATATGTCTTGTTTGTCGAATAAAATTATTTTTGTTGCATTATCCTCCACTTCTTAGCCTGACTTACTTCCTATTATCTGTATTGCTTTTTGTAATGCATGTTTCGTAGTATGTGGCTCTGTGCATTACACCTGCTCACTGATCCCAGAACTGGATTATTTAGAGCGGCGGATTTTATCTTTTCTCTGTTTTTCTTAGTAAACTAGTTTAAAGGAAGATCCACGCTATGTGGTTCACTCTTTCTCTAGCTTTCACCTCTCTATACCCTCACTCGGTAATAACAGCATGCCGAGTTGTATTTCCACATTCCTTCACCCTTCAGTTTTGCAAGACCTCACCTGAATTCTTTGGGGATTTGCTTGTATTCCAAAAGAGGGTCGCCTGTCATCTAGTCTATTCATGATTTACTTGTTACAGTTAACTCTTTCTCGCTCATCGCTTGTTTTTACGCTCTCCGCATTGCCTTACTCTCAACCATTCAAAAATGAGCTTCCTATATCATATCTCGATCTGCGTTTGCCTTTCTGCATGCACAAACAGATTGAGGATCATATTTTTTTATCCGTCTTTTGAAGTGGAAATCCATTCATGCCGCTGCTATTTACCCAAAACAGGTGATTATTTTCAGCTTACGGTGACTTATAAACTCTAAAACCACCACATGAGTCACTTCGGTCTGATTTTGGGGCTTTTTGCGAGCACGTTTGTCATGAAGTTAAAGAGCTGAGATTAATCAGCCTCACAAGACCTCATATGACTGAAAGCATGCGTTGAGATGTTCAGATAATGTGGGGTCTCGTCAGGTCAAACCTGTTTTGTCACCCCTGAGGCTTGAGATCTGTCACTATACCCCCTTCGCCCTTTCCACCATGATGACATACAGCACATGCAGGTACAAGCACTGCGTTTCACTCAGCGCATTAATAACGCTGGCCTACAGATTTATGGGTTACGTTTTGGAGAGCAGCGTATGTTAACTTGTTTTTATCTTCTAAGAGCTTCCTTAATGGTTCAGTTTAGAAACTGAAAACAAAGGCTCTTAAGGCTGTTTAGTAGGTACCAAGAAGTCTAGTGAAACACTAGATCGAGTGAAACCTGGTATTTATGTTTTGTCAAATCAAAAATTCTAATTGAACGCTTGTTTTTATTTTTTTATTTGCTTGTTTATTTTACAGGGACGATACACTTGACATTGTTATACAAAGATAACCGATGTTGTGTACATAGGGCATATAGCATAAAGCTAATTTGCAGCCCTCGTCCCTGGTTAGGCTTTAAATTATAATAAATAAATAAATAAATAAATAAATAAATAAATAAATAAATAAATAAATAAATAAATAAAATAAAATTAAATTAAATTAAATTAAATTAAATTAAATAAATAAATAAATAAATAAATAATAATAATAATAATAATAATAAAGAAAACCGGCAAGAATAAAACACAATGCAGCAAACATGTACAATATTTACAGAGCCATAACCATAAGATGCAAGTCCATATGGATAAAGAGAAATGTAAATGGGACCAACCTGAAAGAGTAATGCTTAATGTTCACATTGCTGTAAAGATTTCAACCATTCTTTCAGCTTTACAGAAAAAACTGGGAGTTCTGATTGTAACTTTAAATGAACAGGAATGGCATTCCATAGATGTGAACCTTTTACTGAAAAGGATGACTGACCCACAGCGGTTCTGCATCTGCGGATTCTACAATTCCCACTTACCGCCCCTCTAGTCTTTGCCCCATCACTACTGAATTTATTTA